CAAAAATACTGACAAAGAAATGACCGTAAATAATTTTCGCTATTGCAGACGCTCGCTATTACGTACATGAAGTGACGGTCCCGAGGGTGTCCGCTGTAACGAGAGTTGACTGTCATTTCTTATTTCTTAGCTCGGGTGTAATTTTTCCCCATTTCAGAACACGTGTCATTCTCTTTAGAATGAGATTCTTTGTTTGAGTCGTATCCATATTCATGTCTTTACATACGCAATGGGAAAGCAAATAATAATAATTTTATAATTTTCAAACGCGCATTACATGACATCTCAATGCTCTTACAATATATGCATAAAATATCAGATTATCACATGCTGAGAGCATGACATCACACCAACTCGCAAACAAAGAAATGATACTCAAGGGAATGACACATAATCTAAAACGAGGAAAAAGTGGGCCCTACTAAGAGAGTAACAAAAAATATAAGATTTGGTTTACATTTTAAAATAAATTTGATGCTTCCTAGCAACCACATGGCAAATCCCCTCACGCAACAACTGGAGCTAAACCACAGAAAAAAAGACATAAGGACTTGAGAAGAGAATTTCAAAGGTACTCGAGGCCAATCGCACACGTTGCACCACAACAACAACCACCCAAAGTATCCCCAGAAACGACATCCGAGGAAAGTTTCGAAGGGACATCAGACTCTGCTACATCGTCAACACCGGAGGAAAGTACTGAAGAATCAATAGAGACACCAACTAGTGTTTACAGCTATCATATCACTGGTACGCCGACAGGTTTAAAGTCTAGCTCTTCGTCTCCTTTTCCTTTAAACAAGAGAGCACTGAGCGGAGGTAGCTCGGCGTCAGACTCTGCTTTGTCTACGCCAGACACCCTAGAAGAACTGAAAAGGAGAATAGGAGAAGGGACATTTGGCCAGGAAGAGAGCGAAGAAGCGGAGAAAAGAAGAAGCAGGAAGGAAGTTGATCGGGAGAAAGATGGCAGGGGTCTTGCAAGGCGAAAGGTATCTACTATTGAAGAAAAGGTGGTTCCAAAGAAAAAACAGATATTTCCCAGGGATATAAGGAGGCAGATAAGATTCAATTTAGCTCATCCTGATCAACCATACGCGCTTGCACCCCCCGACAAGAAGGGCAAGATTACAATGTTTGAAGCCTTGCATTCAGACGGCGTTGGCCGTAAAGATGAATGGATGACATCGTACGAAAAACGCTACACTCCTGAAGGTAAGTGTACCTGGAAAAATATATAACAAGATAAAAAAGAACGAAAGCCTGACAAGATTAATGTCACTCATCCAGGTTTTATTAACCCACCCAAATCGCGCTTAACTCAGTCTCTTCAAAGCCTAAGTTTTTTCGACTGGACTACGGTTTCAATAATTTAGCATAATAACACCCGTTAAAACAATGCAGCAAATAGACTACTAAATTGTTTCATACTTCGTATCAATATGCGTGGCAGAGAATGCAAAGGACACGATCTGGGAGTCAGCTATTCTCTGCCATGATGCCTCGGCTTGAACATTTTCTTGCGTAATCCACACACCCAAGGACACTAGAAGTCCTAATTGTCATTACCGTCAGGTTCGAAGTCCATATGACACCTCAGCTTCTATCTCTGGTGTATAGCACTATCAATTCTTTTTTTATCGATGGACATGGGCTGGAATTCCCGGGAATTCCGTCATAATGACATAAAAGTTTTAATTTTTTCAATGTTACTCTTTTTCTACCCCAAATTAAACATTTTGAGCTGTTGCATTTCCTTTGATTTTCCCTGATAATTTTCCAAACTTGAGGATTACTTTTTTTAATCGTTTTTTGGACAAAAGCACACTGCTGGATTGACCTTGAGGGAATGAGACAGAACCTTCATTGAATTATTCTTAACAAAGCCTATAGACTTTTTGGGGGGCCGATCAGACTCCGAGCACGGGCCTGCTAACCTGCAGATCAAATTGGAGTTTAGTGCCTTGGATTTTGTTGAGGGGAGAATCCAGACAGAAATCTTCAAATCAATTGAATTGATATCTAACAGACACTTACCAACGAATGGATCATTCCTTTCTGATGCTTGACTTTTTTCAGGGGAATATTACACGACCACACTGGAAGCCATTGAGAAAGCTCCCCTGCCTCGGTTGATCCAGCTTGGGGTAGCACCAGGTGACGTGATGGGAGTGTTCAACAAACCTCGTACGGCACTCCCCTATCATATATTGGAATTGCAAAGAATTCTTCAAGGTAAGTGTACACCTTGTTTTATCCTCGTTACATGCGTAAAAAAGCACAGCTTCAATCGACGAATAGTGCAAATAAACTTTCATAGCAGCTTTTTCTTGCTATACTAGAAAGTACACCTAGCTAAATCTGAGGCAAGTAACACGTTTGAAACTTTAATACATTCACAGCCGAACAACAGTTTCCTTTTAAATTAGAATATGAAGGGTTTGACCTTCGAGTCGAATATGATTTTTTTATCTAGAAAACATAAAAGCACAAACACTATGTATAATGTCAGATCGCCCATTTTAGAACGACAACGTTTTTTTGGAAATAGGTGTATACATGGCGGAATTTACTTAATAAGATCTACTGCCGGGCCTGGGTGGCTCGGGGGTAATAGTTTCCTTCTTACCGTTGTGGTCAAAAAAAGATAGCACGCATAATAGGCTAAGCTTGTTTGACGTGTTGTTCTCTTCCCAACCGCGAGTTCAACCTCAAGGGTTGCTTTTACTACACCACTTTTCCCATCTTCCTTTTGGTGCAAGGTGATTGGTGAAATAAATCTTGATGTGGTGTCGGATTAGAAGAACATCTAGTTGTCCCTTGACTAAACGGAGTCTATAATAGACCCCTTCGGCTTGGGGTAATGTTTTCCCATTTCAGACCACGTGTCATTCCCTTGAGAATAAGATTCTTTGTTTGAGCTAAATCCATATTCATGTGTCTTTTCATGTGCGACCGAGCGCAAACCTTAAACAAAGAAATGATACTCTAGGGAATGACATGTGGTCTGAAATGGGAAGACATTACGTCAGAGCCGAAGAGGTCTATTGCTTGATGCTGTCCATGCAAATTTGATACTTCGCAGCTAGCGCGGAGGCTTTTGACCTCGTTAACGTTTAATTTTATTGCAGCACGTTGTTTCCAAGGACATGACCAAAGTCGTAAAAGAGGATACTTCTTTTCAAACAAGTGATATGTTATGTATACATTATTTTTCTCAGATGCTGCTTCACAATCAGGTGGTATACTGGCTGCAGTAGCATCAGACCGACTAGCGGGTGGACCGTTCTACGATTACCTAGAAAGAATACGCGAAGACACAGCACTCATTCGCCTGCAGTTCTGGAACGAGGCTCAGCGGTATCTTGCACCACCAGAAAGCCTTGGTCCAATGAACAAGTACCGTATGGCTATGACTCTTATTGGAACCTTCCTTCTTCCTGATTCCCCACGTATTGTTCCAGTTAATTCAAGATCAAGAAAACAGTTGATTGACTTGCTTCCGATCGACCAAGGAGATGCTCTACTTACTCATGTATCCCATAATGTAGTTCAGGTATTTAGATATTAAAAGAGAATTCTTTTCGTATTCAAGCAGTGAGCGCCAAACACTATTTTCTTGAGGAAAGGCTGTTGTACAAGGCTAAAATCTTGTTATTCAGAAAGTTTAACTTGTTTGGAAGTGGAGATGACCGATGAAAGGGGAATCAAAGTGTTAACCCAAAGAAAAAATTTGAATCGAAAATAAGGTTTAGGCCTTCATTTGCTTATTTCCCCTATATATTTTCTATAAAAAAAGCCTGACAAAGCTACTATCTAACACAAATGCAACAAAACATCTTTGTACAATTGAAAATACTGCTTCAAACAGGCATTTTATCATAGAACATCAGTTTCTAACTGTTTAAAATAGGTTTTGAGTGTTAACCCAAAACAAAAATTGGGGTCAAAACTCATACGAAAGTCTAGTTTTTGGTGCTTTTTTGCCATTACTGCTCATTATTGAAAAAAAATTCCTCTTAAATAGCTGTCAATTACCCAGGTCCCAGAGGCTCGACGATTTTTCTCCACGTATATTTTACGGGGCCGGGAGAAAAATTGTCGAGCCTCTGGGACCAGGGTAGCTGTCAATGGACGTCATTTCCGATCTCCTCTCCTTCATGCCAGCCGAATGACAATATTTCGATATAAACGTTAAATAATTCAGCATAAGCAGTGTTTGTCTTTCACTGGGAATCGAGGGTTACGTAGTTGTTTACCTCTCAACAAGACCTGAGTAGCTTAAAACTATTCGATTTATGCGATAGACATCAGCCCAGAGCTGGCTCCAGGGTTCGATCGGTGAGTTAGACTTGCCCTGACTTACTTAGAATATAGAGTGTATAGTTTTAGTATATTTGTCAGTACGATTTAACAAAATAGTGTGGATCCAAAAGGCGTAGCCGAGTGGATCCACATACTACTTTGACATAGTGATGACGAAATTTATCGTCAATAAGAGGACAGACACATAAAAAACTGATGTCTTTTTGTTTTTTACAATAACAAAAACGATAAAAACTTCTTATTTTTAGCCATCAAAACAATCAACGGAAAGAGCACACGCTCGTTGACGTCAGCTTTACCTGTCTGTCCTCTTATTGATGATAAAAAATAACCAAGAGAAATTTGTAAGTCATTGTAAAAATAGCTTTTTTTCTAGGACCTTTCAACACTCGTCTTACAGTTTATCCGTGCAGATGAGGACCACTTTACAAGCTCAGTGGTAAGTTAGTTTCACAACAATTAACGCAGCTCTCTAATTATAGCTTAAAAAGTGCAAGGTACGGCTAGTCAATTCAAAACAAAAATAAGATAGAGGGTGTCACAATTGACAGTCGACAATGATAAACTTTGGCCCTCTGTGTTCGATGTCTCTAGATGTGACGGGACCGCCAATTAACGTGGTCATACAAGCCACGGCGAAGGTCTACCCATCTTTAGATATTTTTAGAGTAAAGGCAACACATTCTACTTAGATATTTTAAGGCCCTTAGTGTTGGTCCGCCCAGGCCATGACCACATGATAGGCCTTGCCCGAGTCCAATCACCTGGGATGCTTTTACCTCAAAATACCTAAATTGCCATCAAAAAATTATCGCCTTTTTAACATTGACGACATCCTTTCTAAACCAGACAAGATACAAGAAAATTGTACGAGTCCCGCCCAAGGTAGAGGTGCTAAAGGAGAAGGGAGAAGACGATTCAGAGTCGGAAGAAGAAGAAGAAGAAGAAGAAACGGATTATCTCAGCGATGACGACACGAGTAAACTGGCCAATCTAAACATGTTACGTGCCCTGCAATTGGTGATCAGTCTTCAGGATCCTGGTTAGTACAGCTAAGCCAACAGTAAGCTCCTTAAAACCCAGTATCTAAACGACATAGGAGTAGAGGGAAGCGGTGACTTGACAAGGGTAACTGAGGTGCGCATGAGAACACAAAATAGGGAACGTGTAAATTTCCCCATCGCAAGATGTGGCTCCCGACCGACCTCGGAAGGAGTTTCAGTCATACCTCATACGTATTCAAACTTTAATTCACCATTTTGATCACCTTTTAACATAAAATAACACCAAAACTCGGCGAAATCTATGTTAGTTAACAAAACAGTACAACCACACGCTTGACCAAAACGTAGCACAGACGTATACTCTCACGTGCTGCCGCTGGCCAGTAACCACAGAAACTCCAAACATGACACAGGGTTCCCATCTGTGGCAACACAAGCAGTTTCGTATGAAACAGGATCGTGTGTCCGCGCCATAACCGTCACTTTCTGATGTATCACTTCATAGCAGTAGCATGAACGGTTTTCATTTGATCTAATATTATTTGTCAAGAAAATACGAAACATTTCAGTGAGAAATTTATTGTTGCTGGCATTGGTAAATGCTGCGGCTACAGAAAATCCCCTTACCATTAATGCTCTTTCCATAGTTAATTTAGTTTTTGCGAATTTGGCGACAACTTTTGCGCCAAAAACGCGCCTGTTCGCGAATTTCAGGCTGCCTCCCATCAATCTCCCACCTCTACTCGCTAAGCCAGTGCATGCGCATATAATGATCATTGTAAATCACATTGTATAAGGCTTCTTTAAAGATAATATTGAGATGAAAGACGCTTAGATAACAAACCACTCCATTATCTTGATCCAGGCTTCGACGAAGGCGATGATGAAGAGGAAGAAATAGACGAAAGCGAAAAGATTCCTTCTTTGAAAGAAGTCAATAAACAGCGGGACATGGAGCGAGCGAGGAGAGTGTCGCATTTCTATGGACAGATTAAGAAGGAAGTCGCGGAGAAGAAAGAAGAAGATGCACAGGTTGTTAGAGTACGACCAAACAGACCAAGGTGCTTAAGATATCGATCCTTTATGATTATCTAATTTGCAAAAGTCAACTTAAAGAATGTGCAGCTTGAACATTACCAATATTTTGAAATCCCATGGACTTTTAATTGCATCTGTGAATAGCTGACATAAAGGAGGCTAAGCCTGTGAAAGAAAAAAAACCTCTGCAAAAGAGTATGTAAACTTCAAAAATAGCGGTGTACAAAACCAGCAAAACCATCTTGATA